TAACACCTTATCTTTATGTAAATCATTTATTTAACTATTTATGTACAAGTATCATTATTCTTGCATTTAATATCACCCCCATTGACTTATTTTCATATGAGAATGGCTTACTTTATTAACAGTTAATTGAAAACATGAAAAAATCTTAATCGACTGGTTATAATTATTCAAGTTTTCTTCGTTTCACGGAAAAACCCTATATAATTTCGCATATCATTACGGTAGGTTAAAATATATATTGCTTAAGAATTAAAACAAATTAATTACTAATATTCTTTTCTCGAGTAACTTTGTTAATTTTAGTTCTTTATGCCCTTCTCAACATCGATCTTTATTAAGAGGAGGAACAGATATAGCCTAAAAAAGTAAAGTCACATGACTCATTTAATTGAGTATATCATTTAATGACATATAATTGCCATATATACGGGGCTCATCCTCAGTAGGAATGAATAGCATTATTCAAAAGCAAAGCGGTGGAGGGTTTTTTTTAACATTAAATGTATAGCTAAAGACACTAATTCCAAACAAATTAATTTTTCTTTAAAAAAACAATAATTTCCAATATTGAAAAATCAGTAAAAAAAAAAAATAACAGAAGTTGTGTTCATTTTTGACCGTTTGATTTTTCAAAAAAATAAAATAAAATTCAATGATTAAATTTTTTTTTTTTGAAAAGTCAACGGTCAAAACAATTCCCTTTTTCTCCATTACAAACCCTCCACGCACACACTGCGAAAAAATAGGGTCATAGAAGTAACTACATTCACAACTAACTACTCATGTATGCAAAGCCAAGAAGAATAACAGACCATCTATTTCTCATTTTCTTTCTCTGAAATATTCTCGTTTCTCTCTCTAGTTTTCGCTGCAAATCAGAAGAAATCAAAGAAACGGTGATGGCGAAGGGTCCAGGCCTCTATCCTGAAATTGGCAAGAAAGCAAGAGGCGAGTAAATTACATGGTTATGTATATGTGTGTGTGTGTGCGTGTGCGCATATATGTCTATTTGTGTTTATTTCGTTGTGAATTTTTCTTTAATTTTCTTGTAATTATTGTGTGATTTCAGTGATTTTTAACGAAATTTTATTGGTGGGGGTTGCCAGATCTTCTTTATAGAGACTACCAGGGTGACCATAAATTCACTCTTACTACTTACGCCTCAAATGGAGCGGTGAGTAATATATCTTTTTGCTTTATGTATAACTATAAATGTATGAACATATAAATCTATTCTTGTTTATGTGTATGTAGATGGGTTTGTATGTGTGTGTGTTGGGGTTGGGGTTGCATTGCGAGATGGTGAATAAACCAATTGGTCTGATGAAACGAAATCATCTGTTGAAAACATTTTATGTCGATAAATTGTATTTTTTTTTTTTACCAAGTTTAAGAAGAAAGATAATCGGTTTTGCTCATTCTTTTCCATTTTTTTTCCCAAAGCGTTTTCTGTATAAAAGGTTGGATTTTTTTTTTTTTTGAGCGTGTGTTCACAATCTGAAGACATTTATGTATTCGAGATCTCAATAAATGCATATGCCATTTGTCGTGCTTGTTCGACATAGTGATTTATAGAATGAGCTAATCTCGTACATATGATGATTTTTACATGCATCTGGATGAACAAATTAATGGTTGCGGGCGATTGCAGAAGCTGCTTTCATATTCTATATGTTTGGTTCAGTTAAATTTAAATTTTTGATGCTACAGGCTATTACTTCATCTGGGACCAAGAAAGGTGGATTACTTTTAGCTGATATAAACGCTCAGCTGAAGAACAATAATATCTCAACTGATGTAAAAGTGGATACCAACTCCAAAGTAAGTCGCTATACTTCATTTGATGCTTCTCAAAAATTTTCATAAATAAGCCCTGGTTCAAGGTTTATTAATTTTAAGTTTGTTATTGGATACTAATCCGAGCTCATGTATTATCGAAAAAGTTTTTGGATCTACTTATGTAAGGAATGTTTAGTGGTGTGATTGTAATTTGTCATATTTGTTTACTTGAATACTTGTTTCTTTATCTCTCTCTTGGACTTTATATTGCGTGAATACTACCGTAGTAGAGTTCTTAAAGATGACTTCCAAAGACAAGCAACTTCAAAATGCTTAAATAATTAGTGCAAGGTTGTAGATATAAATCTAATAGGTATGGGGTAGCGTAAATGATATTAGGATTACGCAATGCATTGTCTTTCCTATGTTTTGGCATCCTAGTCGTCTATCGTCTTTGCTCTGGTGCAAATTTATGTGGCAGACAAGGAATCAAATTGTGGGAACTAACCCCAAATAGAAACTTGACTTGCCAGCCCAAAAGTTTTGATCTCTAGGCATGGGCAATAGCTCATGGCCGGTACTCTCTATGTAGTGGTCGGCCTTCTAGAAGCTTTGCCAGAAGCGACTAATCGCTTCCCGAATGCCTCTTTATATCATGAAAGATAAGATGTTGAAGTTCAAGAGGGCAGCAGAATTTTCGAGAAATTAGCTCTTTTCCCCCACTTTTATCAGTTTTATCTTTACATGCATCAGCTACCCGTTGGAACTAACACCAAAATTAGGCTGGACATCCACCCCCCTTTATAGACAGATTGCTTAGTAGGATCATATTTGGGTCTATGCTTCGATCCATGAGATGGGGAGATCTCCAATATGCAGTTCTTATTCATATGTAATTGTGCATCATCATCACTATGGTAGTATTCATGTCAATACCTTGATAATCTTTTCAGCTTCTTTCTCAGATTGATTGATTTTGGTTATGCTATTTTTTCATCTACTACGTTTCTAGAACGTGGAAGAATGGATTTGCCAACCCCTGGCCATATACTGCAGAGTTTACTTTTACATTTTATATTTTAAGGTTTGATTTTTGACATGTGGTATCTTGATACTATTATGCAGTTGTTTTACTTATCAACTTGCTTTTCTGGATGTTGTTCCCCATTTTCCGGACTTAGAAACAGATAGTACAACGGCATTCTTTGCTGTCATCTAATTCATCCTTCAAATACAATTATAAAATTTATTTCGATTATGTCATCCTTCTCTGCGGTTATCAAATTTATCCTTCTTTTTTTGCTTTCTTAACTTCTATCATCATATTTAATTTTGGAAATGCATCACAAAGAGCCACCACCATGTTTGGCTAAGCTTTAAAAAGTATTGAGTACTGTTTGGGAAAGTAAGTAAAGACTTGCTTTCAAGAAAGCAAGTTTTTGAAATAAAAATTCCCCGAGAAGGTACCTTATAAATGAGTTTAGCTGGACATGCTCTAATTCATTAATAGGTGACGTTCTATAACTATATAATATATTTTGGTTGCTCTTTTATGTTCTTCTTTGCTTTTGGGACTGTTTGGTCAAATGACAAACTTCGTTGTAATTGAAATATGATTCTTCACCTCAAAAGGTTGCTTGGTCATGTAGGTTTACACGACCATCACTGTGGATGAGCCTGCTCCCGGAGTGAAGGCTATTTTTAGCTTCATCGCTCCAGATCTAAACTCTGGCAAGGTATTTATCGTTCTAGGTGTGGTAATTTACGTTAATATTTTTCTCATGTGCTGTTAAAGCTTTGTTAGTTTTTTGTGCTGTCCCTGAGTGAACTCTATTGTGACGAGAATATAACTCGTGTCATTTTGGTAGAGGGAGGACGAACACAAGTTATAATCATATCTATTATATTGTCTATTGTCCTGTTCTACTCAGTATTGCGTAGTAAACATGTGCTTGGTGTCTCTGACTTCTCAAAATTTTGGTTAACAGGTGGAGCTTCAGTATTTGCACGAGTATGCTGGAATAAGTACTAGCCTTGGGCTGACTGCAAAACCCATTGTCAACTTTTCTGGTGTTGCTGGGAACAATCAGGCTGCCTTTGGGACTGATATCTCATTTGACACCGCTACTGGGAATTTCACCAGATGCAATGCTGGAGTTAGTTTCACCACCTCCGACCTGATTGCATCCTTGAATTTGTTAGTAACTTCTCTGATTGTTGGTTAGGTTGGACTTTACAATACTGGACAATATTAAAGAAGAAAAAAGTTAAAATCTTATAAGTTGTACTTACCTAGCAAAAACATACCCTCAGTTCAAAAAAGAAACAAAAATACTACAGATGTCTAGCTAGCTGTATCTGGGTGAATATGGGTATCATCTATCATTTTATAAACCTCCTAATATTTTACCATATATGCTTTTGAATGACTTCCTTATAACTCTCACTCCTAAGACTTCGCTCATCTTTCCCTTGCGTGTTCGTAGCAAGGAGGAAGAGTTTTGAGTGTATTTTATTAATAGCGACTATTGTGAAAGCTATTTCAGTTCCAAGTTCTAGTTTGGAAATAGGAGAGCTCATGTTTTCTCTATAGAATTCACAATCTTTTAAAAACCCTCAGACCATATACTTAGAACAAAGCAAGTACGAACATTCCATTTCCTCTGCTGTCGAGAATATTTTACGAGTTCTACTGGCAGAAGAGCATAGAAGAAGAGATTTATGAGTTTTTCGATTATCAGCACCAGATTTAGATGAAAATGATGAGCGCTGTTTCTTTCGGTTTTGTTCTTACTTGACAAGATGGCTGTTTCTTTATACAGTAATGACAAAGGAGAAACGCTTACTGCATCCTACTTCCACACAGTAAGCCCATTGACCAATACAGCAGTTGGAGCTGAGTTGACCCACAGCTTTTCAAGCAATGAAAACAGTCTCACTATTGGGACGCAACATTCGTTGGATCCTTTAACCGCAGTGAAAGCTCGAGTTAACAACTGTGGTAAGGTAAACGCTCTTATACAGCATCAATGGAGTCCAAAATCCCTTGTCACGATCTTGGGCGAAGTGGACACGAGGGCAATAGAAAAAAGTGCCAAGATTGGATTGGCTGTCGCGCTTAAGCCATGAAGTTGAGCATTTTGCAATTGAAAGGTTGGCTGCATCGTGTTGAGATGTAGAGTAATAAGGTAGATAGTGTTGATTTGTGGAAGCCCTTGTCTTCTTTGTATACTTTTGATGTCATTAATGTGGTCTTGATTTTTTCATATTTCACGGTTTGGATTGTTAAAAATAATTTTTACTGAGGCATGAACTAGAATGCCCTTTTGATTTGCTTCACAGATATTGATAGTGGCTCAATTGTTGATCTTACATTTCAGTATTGTGCAACATCCATTTATGTATATACAGTCAAATTTGATTTAGACAAGGTGGTCAATGAATATTGTAATAAGCAAATACCATAGTTCGAATTTTTGTTACTATTACAAGTAAAATAAATAAATAAATGACCTGCATTTGAACGATACTTCTCTAGCAACTTAAATCATATGATTTTTTAGCATCAACTTGTCTAATTCTCTTATGAAGTACTGTAGGGAGATTTGCAATGGTGCTAGTATTTTACATGGCGCGACTGGACGGTGCTTAGGCATTGACCGCTTTAAGGCTCGCATAGGCGCTCTTTGGCACCATACGAGTCTAGGCTATGGCTGTAAGCAAAAACAGTCAAACTGGAAAATCGAATCGAAACCGCATTTTAGAAATCATCGGTTTAGTGCCACGTGGACCCTGTCAACGAAATAGTTTTAATTGTGGTTTAAAACCAAACCGGAATGACGAAAAAATATATAAAAATAAAAAAATGAAAATTTCTGAAAAATCCAAATATGTAAAATTCAAGAGTTTTGTCATGTGTGTGTATTTTTGTTAATTTCTAATTTTCTATTACATATATATTATTATTACCTAATAATCCTAATTTATATCTAATAATTTCAAGTTACATATATATTATTATTACCAAATGATCCTAATTTATATCTAATAATTTCAAGACTAACTTAATATATCAAAAGCCATTTTCTGCTTCACAATTCAGATGAACTTCAGTCGACACTCAACATAGCCTTGAGCCACCAGCACCACACCAAATCGGAGACAAAGAGAACCTGTGTCTTCGATGATAATATTTGCTACGAATAAAATTTTAGATCAATAATTTTTTGAGCAAACTGAGGTAAGAAATCTGAAATTATATGGGTTTCGCATTTCTCTCAACTATTGGATGATTGTAAAATAAATTTATTTACTTTGATGGAAAGGGTTTATCTACTATGTACACGATTCTATTCTACTTGTGTAGACANAAAAACTATGTTTTATTTTATTGTGATTTACTTTTATTTTGTTGGTATTTAAATTTATAGTAGATATATTTAGTTTGTTTTAGATTTATTGCTAGTAAGATATAAATATATATTGAATTAATGACATAAAAGTAGACACTAGATAGGAAAAAAATATACGCGAAATCGGCGGTTTAAAATCGGACCAAACCGTTAGGTTTAGGTTTGAGTTTTTTCCAAACCGGTCAAAACGGGTTGGTTTAGATTTGAGTTTTTCTCAAACCGATTTATGCGGCTTAGTTTGAAAATCTATCAAAAATCAGTAAAATAGACCGCTTACACCCCTAGTCTAGGCATGCATTATTAATATATGGGAGCCTGTGCGAACTTAAGCATGCATTATGAATATATATTTTTATTATCGCATGAAACTTTCAACTTTTAGGTCAATTGGATTAAAATGCCCAAAAATTAATAATTATAATTTTTTTAACTTCTAGGTTGAAAGGTCCAAAAAATTGCTCACTCACTTATTGATCCACTAATTTATCGAGCAATTTCAAGAATTTTGTTGTAAACTTTCAATGTGAAATAAGAACTTTTTTCATTTGGTTGTAGTACATTGTTCATGTAGTTTACTTGTAATGTATTATACATTTGATTTAGTTGTACTATTGTATAAATAATTATTTATATTTTATTAAGTTAATTAATCATTTTCCCATTTTTATTATTTAACAAAAATTAAAAATTATCCAAATATTTCATTTAGCACTATTATAATATATCTTGTTTATTGTTCGAAAATATATTTATTTTATTAAGTTTTTAAAACTACATTTCTACTATAATTTGTATTTATTATTAAATGATTTTTAAATTAATTAAAAATTTAAAATAATATTAAAGCAAAAACACATTTTTATGTATTTTTACGTCTAAGCGAACATCGATCGAAGCTTGAGCTCCACACATTGCCATACATTACGTTTTTTTAAACACTGAACCGCACTAGACAATCAATTTGAGTACTGAGAGAGAGAAAGAGAGAGAGAGAGAGAGAGATTTACTCCATTAACTTCATCTTTGTTTACATTACATTCTTCCCAAGAGGGAGGGCACCTTTAAGGAAATGCTAGACAGATTAGACGGTACAATGGCAAGATTTGGACTTCCTTTCAAATCTTTAATATTGTTCAACACTATTCAATCCACCTTACCGAAGGTGCCATAAATATATGCTCCCGCTGCTTTTTCAGTAACCTATGGACAATCATTAACAAAATATTTCCATATCCAAGAATCTTAGACGAGTAGGAAAAGAAACCGATTTTCAAACCAATTCTATGGTTTACCGTTTGGTTTTGGTGAATTCCGAGCAAACTGATAATGATACGGCGAGGCCTGAGAACCATTTGGTATTGAGAGGCTTCTTGGGTGTTGCTGCCCATTTCTTGAGAATGACCCTTGTGTTCTAAGGCCATTTTTACCATTTGGACTTGACCCAACACGCTCAGTTTGAACAGTCTGAAAATAGTACGATGAGCTCGCCATGTCCTTCAGACTTGGTAAAGGCTTTAAGGCTTCAACAACTTCACTCATCCGAGGCCGGGCTTTGGGATCTCGGCTAAGGCAGCGTGCTGCCAACTGTGCAGCTTTTTGGGCACCTTTAATAGAAAAGTGCCCCTCAAGCCTAGGGTCCATTAGACGATAAATGCGTTTCCTCTCACCCAGATGAGGCCTAGCCCATTGCACAAGGTTATGCTCCCCATTAGGCCGATTCTTGTCCACTGATCTTCTACCTGTGAGCATCTCAAGCAAGACAACACCAAAGCTATAGACATCACTCTTTGATGTAAGATGCCCTGTAACAGACAGAATTCAATCGCAATAAAATAAAAACGTCATGCAAAATCCTGAAGAATTATTCAACGAATCTAACAAACCCTGCTTCAATAAACATCATATGAAGAACTATTGGTGCAAGAAAAGCATCCATCCTAAATTCCAAAAGTACACACGAAACATCTAGATCAAGTTTGAACATCCTTTACTATAAAATTTGGACACTTTTATTATTAGAAAACACTTGCAAACATACTTTAGCAGTGATGAATTTAAACACAATCAAGGATATCATACATGATAACAGATCGATATTAAGCACGACCAAACAAAAAGATTAAATTGCTAATTGCACATGTGAATTGCAATGAGTGGGAAAACATCTAGCCTCCTAAGTGTACTACTTTCATGTTTGAACAAGACCATGATAATCACTAGAAGGATATAAAATGGTATGAAGGCAGCATGTGCCATTAACAAGCGATAGTTTTGAGATAAGCATAATATAACCATCCATATCAGCCTTCACGACTCCTTGTAAGTAGAAACACCGCACTAGAACTGAACGGTCAACATTACAACATAAAAAGATCCATGGCAGATGAGGGGAGCAGGGATGCAATATTAGAATTTGGGCCCCATCACTAACAGCACAGAACAATTTCATCACAGCAGTCATTGGCACAGTCCATAACATCTTAATAAAAGTAATTAAGAACAGAAGTGAAACAAACACTAAGCCCCCCGTTTGGGCCACCTTTTTTTCTCATTAAAATGAAAAATATGACTGTTATCCATCGCATCAACATTTAAATTCAAAATTTCTCTCTCTTGTGTAGGCCCCAATAACGGCCATATTTTTCATTCTCATTCTACAAAAATGTGGCTCAAACAGGGCCTAAATAGAAGAAAAATACACATTTGAATAGGCCAGATTCCCATCTTATCTTGAAGTTAACCACAGAAGTTGTACTTGTACATAAGATTCAGTAATGGAGTTGTTGCAGCATTTGTACCAGAGCAAATGAGTGATACAGAGCAGGAAGGGCATTTGATCATGATTGTTCAAGATTCTAATAGGAAATATCGGCTCAGCTAAGGCTGAAGTATAGTCTCAGACGAAAAGAATTCCTATTGATTAAGAAATTAAAATTGCAATGGAACTTCTCCTTTATTATATAAATTTTCTCTAGTTAACCTGGGATTCTGTTCTCTTTTTCTAGTTTTGAATACTTGTACTTCGCAATTAACGACAAATAAAAAATTCACCTGTCATGACATATTCTGGGGCAGCATAACCATAGGTTCCCATCACACGGGTGGAAACATGAGTTTTCCCTTCATCTGGAGCATCTTTAGCAAGTCCAAAATCAGAAAGCTTGGCATCATATTCCTGAAAAATTAAGTTATTAAATTAATTTACATATCAGGAAAATGGATTTTACAAGAATGTGGTTTACCAAGCGTAAGGAACTTACAGCATTTAACAGGATGTTAGATGTCTTAAAATCACGATATATCACAGGTCTTTCTGCTTCCTCATGAAGAAAAGCAAGACCCTCAGCAGCACCAAGTGCAATTTTCATTCTGATAGACCATGGAAGAGGCAAAGATCCTACATTATAACAGGTTAAATTAGTGGAAAGTAGCTACATGATAGGGGAAAGCATAAGTGCTCTAGCATTGAAAATGTGAAAAACTGATATTAGTTCCATATTGCCATTTTTCAAAAATGTCATTCATATGTCCAACACAAAATGCTAAAATGCAGTGAAAATGGAAAAGATTTGAGGCACCAAGATCTAATACCGAATAGGGGGCTCTTGTCTCTGTAATGAAGAGAGAATAACTCGATATCTTTATTCATAGGAAAAGATACATATATATACCGATTGAGAAATCTAAATTAGGAAGGAGGAATCCCTATAATTAAACTTCTATATAATTATTTACATTAACACTCCCCCTCAAGCTAGAGTATAGATATTAATCATGCCCAACTTGTTACAAATGTAATTAACCCGATTCCCATTTAGAGCCTTTGTGAAAATGTCTCCTAGCCGTTCTCCAGTTTTCACATATCCTATAAAGATTAAATTTTGTTGTATTTTTTCACGAACAAAATGACAGTCAATTTCAATATGTTTAGTTCGTTCATGAAAAAGGGGATTAGACGCAATATGAAGGGCAGCTTGATTGTCACACCACAACTTTGCTGGTATTTATATTTAAGTCTTAAGACTAACTTCGGTTAAAAGTTGATATATCCACATGATCTCACACACGGACTGTGGCATAGCTCTATATTCTAATTCTGTACTGGATCGGGACACAACATTTTGCTTCTTACTTTTCCATGAAATCAAATTTCCTCCAACAAAAACACAGTATCCAGTAGTTGATCTTCGGTCAATCTTGGAACCTGCCCAATATGCATCTGAGAAACATTCGATGTGAGTATACAGTATCCCATGTCAAGGAGCTCCCTTTAAATAATATAGGATTTGTTCTAAAGCCGCGCAATGGTGAACTGTTGGGGAAGACGTGCATTAACTTACAATATTGACAGAATACGAAATATCAGGACGAGTTACTGTAAGATAGTTCAATATCCCAACTAGTCTTTTGTATTTCTCAGGATCCTCAAATAAGGATCTTTGGTAAGTTGCAAATTAGGAAGCATTAGAGCACTGTTTGGCTTAGCTCCCAACTTCCGTGTCTCAGTTAATTAGTCAAGCTCATATTTTCTCTGAGATAAGAAGATGTATTTTTTGCTTCTTGTCACCTCAATTTCCAAGAAATACTGCAACACCCTTAAATTTTTCGTATGAAATTGGGTGTGAAAAAAGGACTTCAGAGATGAAATCCTCATAGTATTACTACCAGTAATAACAATATCATCAACCTATACAACAAGGAGAATAAAGCCGGATTTAGATTGGTTGTAGAAGACTGAGTGGTCAGACTTGCTCTTTCGCATTCCAAACTTTTCCACTGTCTGACTAACTTTTCCAAACCAAGCACGTAGCCTCTGTTTCAAACCATATGACTTTCGAAGACGACACACTCAACAAACCCATATAAACTTCCTCCAAAAGATTACCATGTAAAAATGAATTTTTGATGTCTAACTGATGTAAAGGCCAATTATGAGCAACTGTCATAGAAATAAATAAGCGAACATACGCTAATTTTGCTACAGGAGAGAAAGTGTCAGAATAATCCACACAATAAGTCTAAGCATAACCTTTAGCCACAAGACGAGCTTTAAGCCAAGCCACGAAGCCATCAGAATTGACCTTGACCGCAAGCACCCACTTACACCTAATAGCTTTTTTTCCTGCAAGTAAGTTTAATAAATCCCAAGTACCATTAGCATCTAAAGCATCCATCTCCTCTATCATAGTTTTACGCCAACTAGAATGGGATGAGGCTTCATGAACAGTTTTCGAAAGAGTCAAAGAGTTAAGAGAAGCAACAAAAGAGCAAGATGAAGGAGACAAGTGATCATAAGAAACAAAAAAGGAAATAGGACAAGTGCACCTTTGCGGAGAGCAATAGGTAGATCATGATGACGGGACATTGGATCCGATGCCGAAGAAAAGATGTGCCGAACATGCATCATGAGGGTGACGTCGTCTGTGGTGAATAGGTGGAGGTGGAGGCAGGGTGGGATCAACAAGTGTAGAAGTAATATCAGTTGGCTGAGAAATTACATGATAAACCAACAGATCATCAACCTCCCCCTTATTGAAAGAAGTATAAGAAGTAGGAAAGAAAGGAACATGTTCTAGGAATGTAACATCAGCTGACACAAGACACTTGTTAAGACTCTGACAGTAGCACCGATACCCTTTTTGTAGACGAAAGTAACCTAGAAAAACACATTTTAAGGATTTAGGATCTAATTTAGTAACCTGTGGACGAACATCACGAGCAAAACAAGTACTACCAAATATTCTAAGTTCAATAGAAAATAAGGGTTAAGTAGGGAAAATGACACTATAAGGAGTCTCACTATGAAGAACAGCTGAAGGCATTCGATTAATAAAAAAACAGGCTGTGGAGACGGAATTAGCCCAAAACTATTTAGGAAACATGCATTTGAAACAAGAGTGCCCTTGCTGTCTCAAGAAGATGTCTATTGTTTCTTTCAGCCATTCTGAAGCTTGTAAGTCTGAAAAGAATCGGAAAAATATTTTTTGGCATTATCACTTCTCAACGTATGCACAGAAACATTACACTGTGTTTTAATTTCAGCACAAAAGGCACTAAAATGAGAGAATAATCCAGAATGATTTTTCATTAAATAAAGCAAGTCACACAAGAGAAATCATCAACAAAGGTAACAAAATACCAAAATCCAGTTTTGAACACTACAGGACAAGGACCCCAAACATCTGAATGGACTAGCTCAAAAGGAAAACTAGCTCTCTTATTAACTCGAGGAACTGAGGACAAACGATGATGTTTTGTAAACTGACACGACTCACAATCTAAAGACGACACATTATGAAACTGAGGACATAATTTCTTCAACAAAGATAAAGATGGATGGCCCAACCAACAATGTGCTTCAAACGGAGTTAAGACACACCCGGGTATCCAAAACATAGAGAACACCTGATTCAAGTCTTTTACCAATAATCTTCTTCATCATAAGATCCTGAAAAAGACAATAATCAGGAAAAAATGAAATGCAACAGTTTAAGGTCCGAGTAAGTTTGCTCACAGACATTAAATTGAAAGAAAATTGTGGTAGACTTAAGACGGAAGATAAAGAAAGGAATGGAGTTGGATTAATAGTGCCAGAACCAAGAACAGAAGAAGTAGAACCATCAGTTAAAGTAACATTAAAAGGAGATGAATGTGACTGAAAAGTGGAGAAGAGACTAGGATTATCTGTCATATGATCTGTGGCACCAGAATCAATGACCCATTTTGAGGAAGAGGAAAGATGACATGTATCGTGTTTACCTGTCTCAGCAATGGCAGAGATAGGTTGAGACGAATTCTTCAATGCTTCTTGGTACTGAGTGAACTGAGCAAATTTATCTGCAGAAATTGTTATGGTCTGCTCAGAGGATGAGATGGGTGTAGTAGTGGTAGCTGCAACATGAGCTGAGTGTGACTTCATAGATTTATTTTGCAATTTTCGGCACGTGCGTTTGGTATAGCCCTGCTCATGACAGTAACAATATACAACGCCCCGTTCATCCTGACTCTGATTATCCCGACTACCTATACCTTCACCTTTTATATGACTTTTACAACTGATTAGAGCACTAGAAGACTGAACATATGAAGCAACAAAAGTACTAGTATCTGTGCGAAATACTCTAGTGAAAGTCTCTTGCAGAGAAGAAATCTCATCAATGGAGAGAATCTGGGATTTAGCAGTTTCAAACTAAGAATGAAGACCAGCTAGAAAACTCATCACGGCCATTTGCTCCTGCTAAGCATGCTGAACTTTCACATCAGGGCTAAAAGGTAACAAGACATTCAGTTCTTCATAGGTCTTCTTAAAATTCATAAAATAAGCCTGAAGAGACTGATCTTGTTGTTCGGCATGGTAAAAACCCTTACAGACTTCATAAATACGTAATACGTTCCCGTTCCCAGAGTACATAAATTCTAAATATTCCATCAATTCCTTAACATATTCACAGTGATTAATCAAACTGACTATCTCAGTGTCAATGGAATTCCAGATTTGTAAGAATAATCGAGCATCATCTCTTAGCCATGTTTGAGTAGTATTATCCGTTGGTGGATCGTCAGTAAGATGACCAGCCATAGAGATACTCCGTAAATAAATCCAAACTGTCTTACACCAATGTAAATAATTTGGATCAACCAACTTATGTTCTGTGATTTTAGACATCAATGGAAAAACATCGGTTTCAACAAAAAAATTTTGTCCGTTAGCCATAGAAATAAAACACAATATCCAAACAACACCCCCACAATAGTCCACACAAAGGCCCAACAAGCCCAATAATCAAATTAATCACAAGTGACTCAAGCCCAATAAAACCCAAATCCAAACAAAAATATATTCCACCACCAACTTGAGCCCAAATAAATATACTTGGCCCAACCCTCGGAATCAACACCCTCAGCCCAAACAAAAAATATATATACATTGCCCAACACACAGATGGCCCAATATCACGCTGGGGATGAACGATCCTCTTCCACACTCACCGAAGACGATCAACGACGAGCCTGCCGGCAAGAATAACTCCCGACAGTCCTCAAAAGTCCGATCACCACCAGCTAAAGTTCACGGTCAATTGATATTCTCCGATGAAGAAGAACGCAGACACTATGGATCCAGAAGCGAGCCAAAATCTGCTCACAAACGCACAACCCTTGACCGTCGCGCTTGACTCAGAAGATATTGACTAGAGATGCTACCTAAAGAGCAAGAACGATCCACGCAACTCTGAACACCGAAAATTAGATATGGAGCTGGGAAAGGGAAACGAAGGTAACCTAAGACTCACCTATTTTCGAGCCCTAGCTCTGATACCATGTAATGAAGAGAGAATAACTCGATATCTTTATTCATAGGAAAAGATACATATATATACAGATTGGAAAATCTAAATTAGGAATGAGGAATCCCTATAATTAAGCTTCTATATAATTATTTACACTAACAGTCTCCACTCAAAACTTTGGTTAGATGCAGCTTCATCATAGATATGATTGTGATCAGTATAACCTTACTGTTGCTTTCACTCATACAGAGTTTAATAACTTATGTTATTAGATATTTTGATAGTTTCTTTTTCTCCACCTGAGACTGAATTTGGGTCAATATGCAAATATACTAGCATTTATGTTCCAATCCAATACTTGTGCTCATTACCCAACATGTATCTAGGAAAATGCAGCTACTATGATGTATTGATATGTAAGATTGTTCCGCTACATCCAGTGCCAAGTCAAAAATAAACATTTTTCAATTCGAATTCACCAGTGGTTCATTATCAGAATGTGCACCAATACACACTTAACAAGAAGAACGAGCTCATTGGACAGCCGCAAAAGAAATAAAGGAAATGAAGTATGGTAAAATCTGACCATGTCTGGTTAATGGAAGTCAATTTACACCATAAAATATAAACTAGCAAGTGAACCAAAAAATTTAGTACTCGGAACTTTAAATTTACACATATATGGCATCATTCTAACCTACGCAGTCAAATTATTAACGAAAATAAAAGTAAGAAAAACAAATATTTCATCACTCAGAAAAAGGTCCTGGCCACTACAAAATCACATACGAGAAAATAGAAAAATATTCTATCAACAGAATCCTATAGGACATAATCTGAACTCCAATAATCCATAAAAATACATTGGAAGAAGATTCAATACATACTTCTGAAAAGGTGGTTCTCCAAGCTTCCCCGAGGCATGAACTCGTAAGCTAACAGCCTCTGATCTTCTTCAATACAGTAACCAATTAATTTAACCAAATTAGGATGAACGAGGTCACCAAGAAAATTTACTTCAGCCTGCCAAAAAATTGCAATTCAGATAATCCAAACAAAATAATTCCAATAAAATAGGAAGACAGCCACTCCAAGAATATCATATTGAGAAAGCATCAAACCAGCCATTCTTTATGACCCTGAAGTCCATCGTGATTGAGGGTCTTCACAGCTACAGTAAGTCCTGTTCCAGGCTTCACCGGTGCCGTCCCATTCTCTTCAATCCACCCCTTGAATACACAACCAAATCCCCCTTCACCGAGAAGAGATTCTGGTCTAAAATTTCTAGTTGCCAACTTCAGGTCATTAAATGAGAATTTTCGAAGCCGAGAAGATACTTTAAGTTCCTCTTCAAGTATGAAGCTGGAAGATTTGCTCTCAGCATTGCTCGTGGTGGTGGATGGAAGTACCATGGAAGCTGGTTGTTCTCTGCTAGTGCCGTTCGCTGATTTACTTTCTGTTAACATGCGCAACAAAGCAATAGATAAGAAGAAAGGCACACACGTGGTAGGAAAAGTCTACATTAGCATTGTCTGGCATATCATGTAATGCGGTATATCTTACAATATGGTAATAGGACTGAACTTATAAACAAAGTAGATGGAGATAATATCTAGTAACAAGGTAACAAGTATTGGCACTGAATATGTAAGAGGAGTGAATTTTCCAAATGTATTTAACTAAATATTATGAAACTTCAAACCAAGTAGCATTAAATATTGGATCCAAATTTGTTGACACCAAAAGTAAGCTCATTTTGCATGACATGATAAAGCAACATGCTACAAGCTTTAAGTTTTAATCATTGCACCTTCAACCATTCACCTCATTTCTGCTAAAGGAATACACAGAAAACAATTAATTTGTCACGGTAAAATTCTCGGGACAACCAAAAACACTAATCAGCATATTAACCATACTGGCTCTCAAACCATATGCTCAAGATTTACAATAAAATAAGGAATCATATTGAATCAAATATCTCAACTTGCAAACCTGGCTATAACATACAACTCTGACAAAGAAGAAAAAGATAACAAAAATAGATGTCAAATCAGACTAACCAATGAACGAAGAATGAAAGCAATAATAAAAGATGAATGCTAACTTGGAATTCAACATTTGGAAAATGAGTGAAAGATTACCGCGGGCGCTGATGCCACTAATGGAGGTATCAACTTTAGATCTTGAACACATACAGCTTCCAATATACCTCAACTTAATCCAACACCCTGTCTTCCCCACAGCATCACCATTTTTCTTCTTCCTCCTCCCCTTTGATTTCGCAACATCCCAAGATTCCGCCTTCAAGCTATCACCACCAAGTCCCATCTTTAAAAAACCTAGAGTAAACAAAACCCCCCTAAATCTCAATTTCCACCCAATGTCAAATGTTCCCTCACTTCCAGTCCTATCCCCTCCTAAACCCCAGAGTCAGCTAAATCAAGCCAAAGCTGTATCAGAATATCAGCCAGAGATAACAAAAGACCACCTTTCACCCACTTCCAAGAAAACCCAAATAGCCAAACTAGAACGGGTGATTTTCTTCTCTTCAAGAACCCACTTTTACTCAAAAATCCACAAAAAAATTGAAAAGTAGCTCACCCCAGTTCACAGGATCAGCTAACTCTAAAACATCCTTTGTCCACTTTTAAGTTAACCCAAATACCTTAAAAGATCGCTCATCACTCTTTCCACTTTAAGATCTTCTCAAAAACCCCAGAAAAAATGAATCGGCCCCAGTTGAAAAGATGAGCTGAAATTACATTAAGAAGGCTCAAAAGAGCTACGTGATTGCAGATATGTGCTTGACATTCAAAGAAGAAAACTTTACCCCTTGGCTCTGTGCAACAAGCAACTCTGAAATCAATAATAATGATAATAATAATCCCAGTTCAAAAAGTAAAACAATTACGACGCCACCACCCCCAGAAATGTCTGTTCTTAAAGAAGGATATTGGAATCCCAACAAAAGACTCAAATATATGCTGAGTGCTGACCAGTTCAATGCTCAAAAGAATATTGTACTGATCCTATCTTCAAACGGCATATTTATATTTTATCTATTGCGTGCAATGGCTGTGTATATGAATAAAAAATGAATGAAAATAAAAAGAATCCTATTTGAATCCCATTCTTTAAAATTCAAAATTTTTGAATTTATTTATAATTCTACATTTTACTAATAAAATAATTTTATGCGTACATTAAAAATAATTTTTTATAAAACCTATTCTTAAAAAAAAAAAATCCTGATTTTTTCCAAAAGCAAATGGGAGGGTGCCCGCAGAACACGGGCAGGAAGCTCAAGTGCCATAAGCACCCTTCTCAGCCATTTGTATTTTTGTATTTACAGGGGTCTTTGGTTATAACTTAAAAAGAGATTTCAATTTTATAAAAAATAAAAATAAAAAACTAAGTGTACGTTAATGCCATTTAATGATCGTAGAAACTCGACTAGCCCAAATCATGTTGGTTTACGGGCATTCATAGCCTCTTTTACGTTCATGGTGGCCGTTTTGATCCCTCTTCCCCCATTGTACTAAAAAAAATATAGATTTCAAGCAAATTTTAATAATTGTTGATATTGATTTTCATAAATATTTTCAAATTGGTAGATATCAGGAGAGACCTATCTCATAAAGTTCAGGTTAAATCAGGAAATATGACATTTTTGGATGAGAATGAGCGGTCAGTTTCAACTAATGCAAAATGAGGAGAATTCGGGCAAGAGAGATAACTAGAGGCGGGACCCACCACTATGATGACGTGTTTGGTTTTTGGTTTGTCGAGGTGCCACGCGCGTCACTGAGATGATTTTAACCAATTACATTGCAAGTACAAAATTTTTAATTGAAAAATCTTTACAAATAACACATGAAACAACATCATTAGAAGGTGGGGAAAAAATAAAAAAATAAAAAAATAAGTCCAATTGCACATTGCCACATCAACTTCGGTACAAATTCTGTAAAGTTTTTCCTATATTCACGGCTTTATCCGATTTTAACAATCCTCCCGTGGCACCTTTTATAATTGGTTCGACTTAGGTTCGGTCATATTTAGCCCTCGTTTGGCCCCATTGAATTACGATTCATTTTCTCTTCTTATCAATCACATATTCTCTAATAAAATAATATTACACGTAAAATAAAATAAAAATCTTTCTTTTTTAAGCATGCATTTTTTTGAAAAAATTATTATTCATCACATTATAATGTGGAACAATGTGACCAAAAGAGCACTTAAAAATTACTTTCTAGGCAACTTAAAAGGTATGTAATTGACCAAATAAATAGAAAAACATGATTTGGCCCCGTTATCTCAAAAATTCATTTTTTTCAAGACTTATTTTTAATGATGCATTCTCCCATAAAATAATATTACACGTAAATAAAAAAATTCTTACTTTTTAACCGTGTATTCTCCAAAAAATTACTATTCTAAAATACTTTTTTTTTTCCCGAAATTACATTTTAATGGAGCTCAAACAAAGGCTTACGTATTTCAATACAGGTAAAAAATAATATCCATTTATTTGATAATGGGTGAAAAAATAATCCTATTTAGTACGAGAGATGTTAAAGCATTAGTTTAGGTGATCATACTTAGCCATGTTTGGTATAAATTAAAATTCAGATTTTAATTTAAGTTAATCCAATAACTAATTTTAACCATACATTTTATAGGATCCAAACTTTTCAATCACATATTTCATTAATTTTTATCAAAATAAATTAAAAATTTTACTTTTAATCCCCACCAAACAAAGGTTAATAAATTATATTCAATAAATCATGTTACATTGTATTTAAGTAAATTTATTATTTAACGTTATACAGTTGATACTGAATATCATTACTCGTGGAGAAATGATTCATGTTGTTATTAAAAATAAGTCTTAAACCATAAAATTTATAAATAATCATTTTTTAATGAAACCACAAGTATTATACACTTATTAATAATCGATTTTTATTAATAACCAGTTAATCACAAGCATTATTCACTTATAAAGTGAATCATTTATGTATTTTTCTCAAGAGGAGGCCAATTTGTTAATTTTAATTAAATAATCACCCTAGGCGCAATATCATAGGGTTAAAATAATTGTTAATTAATTATTGGATCTCGTTTGACCCCTATTTTTGGGTAAAATTTATTACGGAATAGTGATTTTTTGAAAATGTATGATTAAAAGTGAAGAATTTTTTTTGAAATATATGTAAAATTATTTTATGAAAAAATGTATGATCGAAAATGAGTTTTAAAAAAAATTCATTTTTGGAAAAATATGGCATAAACAGAGGCATTATAAAAAAGAACCCAATTACAGAATTACTATTGGAATTATCTATGCTAATTAATTATTGTTTGTACAAAGTAAAATATTAGTTTATTAGACAACTATGGTACTACACCATGAATCTTGCATTAATTATTGTCAGCATGATTGGAAGCCAAATGTACCTTTGTGCGATACGACACGTAAAACTACTTACATATATACAGTTTTATGTATAGATATTTTTAAAAAGTAACTAAGCCCTTGTTTTGAGCCTCCTTTTTTTTTTATTAAAATACATCTTGAATAGTGATTTGACCACGTTACAATCACACATTATTCAATGAAATAATATCACTCAAAAATTTATTTCTTTTCTTTATTTTTTAACCAAACATTCTCTATTATAATACTATTACAAACAACATTCTTTGGTTAAAAATGAGGCTCAAACAAGCCTTAAAAGTAAAATTTTCAAGTGTGCGTGTTTTAAATCATGACTCTATGGGCCTGTCTGGTGGCCATTAAAACGAAGAGAAAAATTCATTTTCCTACCGTTGAGCTCCACTACAGCCGCAATACTTGACTGGCCAAGAGTGGTGTGGGCCCCACCAACGGTAATAATTTTGATTAAAATTGGTAAGAAATCAGCACCAGACAAAGTTTATATTTTGTTAAATCATGTAAGATTTTAGAAATCTCTTTAACCTTATGTGCAGTAGAGTTTTTGAAATATATATATAAATAATATTTTTTGATAAAAATGCTTAGTGTACAATGATTTTAACTATATTGTTGATAATATACCACGTGACATGTAGTTATTGGATAGTTTAAAAAACAATTCATTACATTGGCGAAAAGGTCAAAATTAAAGCTGGTATTGTACCTAACTAAATTAAGTGGGAAGGTTGTTGAAGCAAGCTGCCCTCTTTTAACACATACCAAATCCCGATTCGTCAAGTTCACAGTTAAACAAATTGCGGCTATGTTTCGAAAGCAACTAAGATTATATTTCAAGAATCGTATTGTTATGAAATATCCGAATCTAATATGGCAATATAAAAATAAAGTACACAAAAATTTATGTGAAAATTCAATCTCCATTTGGGTCATCTTTTTATCTCATTAAAATGAAAAATATGACCGTTATCCATCACATCAACATTTAAATTCAAATTTTCTATTTCTTGTGTGGGCGTCAATAACAATTATATTTTTCATTCTCATTGCAATAAGGTGGCTCAAACAAGAACCTAATATGGAAAAAAAAAGGCACATGAGAGAAATCCACTATGTGAAGAGAGAATACAATGAATATTGCTTTCAATATGTTTTGTAATTATATACAAAGTCAATATTCACGTGGAGTATATAGGAACCAAAATAATATTTTTTAAATGGAATGATGATAAAAAAGGAGTTAGAAAATTAGAAATAATATTTTTCCCAATAACAAAGCGCTCGAGCGGCGGTCTTGCACTACACGAGCGACGCTCATCCCTTGAGCGGTAAGCTGGTGGGTAGCAGCAGCGCTCAAGCGCTGCGTGTATTGCGCTCAAGCGTTTCGTTTCGGGTCCAACTTGATTCCAAACACTTTGTATGGCACGTAGGCGTCCAATCCCTGTCCCAAAGTCTCCCAAACCATTTTTTGACGTCTTTAACACCTATTTCAATCAATTTACGAACATTCAACAGAATTTTGGTCACATTGTAACACGTATAACTAAGACGTGTTTAATACATAATACACTGAACAATAATGCAAAGAATATGGTTATGAATCTAACCTTTTTTTTTCTTTCTTTCTTAATTCATATGAGTGTTGTCAAATCGAACCTTCCATACAATACAATAATATTTTGTTCAAGCTATCCTTTCTAAGCATGGTATACTTCTGCTTCTATGAAAGCATGACATATATGATGCTTCAAGAAATAAACTTTCAAGCAGAACTAACAGTACAGCCACCAAATGAAAATAGGAGACAATCAAGGGCACGACCGATCAACTAGACCTAAGTTCTCTAGCTATCCCTGGTCGACCA